TATATAAATAAATACATAAATTCTTTACAATTACCACAAACTCAAATTAAACTCTTTTCTGTAATGAAAATATGACGCCTATTTTTTAAAAGTTTTTTTAAATGTTTTATATCCATTATTCATGGAGAATACCTTTGTTGTATATACAATTACCAAAAATGATTTCATGTTCTTTCTTCAGAAAAGGAAATATTGCCATGTGTTAAAATATTGGCATACAAAATCCTTCAGCATTAAATCCTTAGAATGGAGGAAAATGTCCACCAGGGTTTAGTTATGTCTAACTATTTTAAACATCTTAACCTGATATTTTATAATCTACTTTTGATTGCATTTAAACTACAATTTAAGCATCTTTTTCTCAAGATTTTTCTTCTTCACTGAAATAGTAAGAGATGGAGCCTCTGAATTTCTCTGAAGTCTTGAGACACCAAATCAAGCAAGAATTAACTAACATTCAGACAGGTCCTCCAGAATGGCATCAGACATAATAGCTGAAAATATCTTTTTTCTCTGGCTGGGATTACTATGGAAAAAATGTTTTTATTTTAAAAAGAAAAAACTTAGCCAAGATTGTGGGGGCTTCTGTCTCCTGGCTCTCTTCACTAGAGAGCTTATCTTGCCATGGTTTTTCACTGCCAACCTGTCACAACTGACTTCCCTTAAAAGCTTCAAGTACCTATAGAATGAGAAAGGCATGTCTACAAGCCACACATTTTTATGCTTGCAATATAGTGTTTACACCTTAGTCTATAGATTGCTTTGGTGGATATGACTTCTTTCAATTCCACGTTATCTATTACAAGGCTTAGTCTTAACAGTCTTAATGTGTTAAGATCTCAGACTTTATTATACAATAATAATTTGGACATTTCAACACAGCCAGAGTTTTACACTGTACTTTCCTAGATGCAAAGAAAAATGTCTGAATACTAGTTTTGTCTGGTGAAAGGGGAAGCAAAATAAATAGCAGATGTAGGCTAGAATTTAGTTAAAATCTAATTACTATGTAAAGCATTTTCAGATTAATGTTCTACACAAAAAGAGTGTCCCAATGTCCCTGCTCATTCACCCAGACACCGCATGACCCAGGCCTTTGGCAGCCTCCAGCCAATATGGTGATGGGCAGCAATGGTGGTGCTGAGGGGATGACTGAAGGGGCTGTGTGGGGGCAGCATGCAATAGAATTGGTGGCAGGCTGGGGGAGAGAGAAAGAGATATGGGGATGTACAGCTGCTGGCATTGTGGGGGGAAGGAGACGGTGTGAGGCTGCTGGCATTGTGGGGGAAGAGTGATGTTATGTAGTGGGGGAGAGTCGAACTGTCCATTTGGTGTCAGGCTGGCAGGATCAGGTGTGGCTTCCCATTTTCACCACCCCACTNCTAATCTAATCTAGGACCAATTTAGTGTGGTGGTTAAGGTAACAAGCTCGAGAATGGGGTATTGTTAATTCCACGCCTGCCTTAGAAACCATATGAGTGACCTTCGACCATTTACTCTCTCTCAGCCCTACATGAACATATTCTGAAATCCTGTCAGGAAAACTGCAGACGCTTGTCCAGGCAGTCCCCAGAAGTTAATATAATTATAATAAGATGGTTTGTAATCAATACCAGCTTATGGTTTTTAAGTCTCTTTATCAGCTAGAAGCCTGGGACTACAACACTCATGTGGCTTAGATTTCTGACCTAGCCATAGTTCATCCCTCTTAATACAGAGCTCTAGTGTCATTTTAAAGATGATTTTTTTTTCAAAAATTAAAAAAAAGATAACAGGCCCAGTGGCTTGTTCTGACATCTGAAGAGTAAATAGGCTACTAAAAGCATTTCATAGATATTCTCTCCAGGCTCCTAAAATGAACATTTTTCTTCTGGAATATAAGTGTAGAAGGCATAAGAAAAAAAAAACCCTCAATTTTGTCCCCCAACATTCAAGTTCCCTTTCTTTTGAATGTATTCAGAATACAAGTAAAATGTTCAAAGCAGCCACAATAATTTCCAGGTCATGCTGCCTGGTGCTCATCCGTTCCTAAATACTGATATCTCCTAGGGCTGCACTTTGCAGAGAAATCCTTTGCTAATTTTTTCAGTTCAGAAAGCTCTTCTAAAGTTTCAACAATTGCAGAACAAAAATTACTGATCAAATTCTACATGGGAAGCTCAAAGACCATAAAGCTTTTAGTCCACAACAAAATCTAGGCATTGCCTCAGACTAATAAAAATTAACATTTTAAAAAGTATTTTGTTAAATGGTAGAAATAGTACCGTATTAAAAGATATAAATGCTAAAAATACTAGAAGTATTTCTAATATATAATTTCCAGCCTCTTTGTTTATGCTTTTTTAATGATATTTAATTGTAGTTTGAAACGTAACATAAACAAAGTTTGTTATGGACATAGTATTACAATATGCAAATCTAATAGGTCTAGGTATTTATGACAAATCAGATTATATCATATGATTAGTGAGATTATACATGGCAAAATAATCCAAAATATTGACTTAATGTTTAGAAGAACAAAATTCATTAAAATTTCTGATCTTTATTGATTGATGTGAAATAACTAAGGACATTTGAAATAACAAAATTCCTGCAAAGAAAATAAAAGGAAAGGAAATAAAGTTCAATCTTCAATTCAGTATAGAAAATAGAAAAGTGTTTGGTAATTCGCAAATCATTCCACATTGATTTCAGCAATTCACTGTTAACTTCATTGTCATTCCTTTACATCCATTCCCCACACCTCCCCGGAATGAATACAAACTCTCAAATAGTATCTTTTAATATGTACTTTTCGAAAATAGTTTTTTCCTGAATTTGTAATAAGGAATTGCATGTAATGTTGACATTAACAAGGAATCCTTCATGTCCAATTAATTATTGTAAAAATGATTTACTATTGTTTAACCATTATAATTATTTGTCTGAAATGAGCAAATTCATATAATAGAAATTATATAAATAAATACATAAATTCTTTACAATTACCACAAACTCAAATTAAACTCTTTTCTGTAATGAAAATATGACGCCTATTTTTTTAAAGTTCTTT